GTGTTAAAAGATCCGATCAATTTGTTTTTTGTTTGAGCCTAAGTAGCAAACTTCGGTGCTCAATTTTTATACAGTTTAGTTTTTAAGTGTCAATGAAAGTAACGAGGACACTGATATAGTTCGTGATAATTTTTTTTTGCTGTTTTGTTAGTAAAATCTATTAAGAGTCGATGAACATAGTTTCTTATCTAGGTCGCGATGATTTTTTTTTCATTTTCAGGCTTAACTTTACTTTTTCGCGGTTTGACTTATGATTCTTTATGAGTTCAGTTCATTTCGCTAGCGAATTTTTGTGAGCGTAGTGTAATAGTAGGTCTATTCTTTTTTTTCTAACCTAAGTAACAAAAATTGGTGCCATTTTTGGGGCACCTTACAGCTTTTTTTATAGCATGTGCTTTGACATTCGATTAGTAATAAGTGAACACAAATAATGTTTTCTCATTGTTCGAAAGAACCGAAAAAAGCTATTTGCTGCAAATACCAGTACGATAATAAAAACTCGATTTCAGAAGTTTTTCAACACATTATAACATGCAATTTATTGAAATGGTTAATTTAGACAATTTGGGTGTATGCTTTCGAATTTATTACATGCTAAGTTATCGTGGATGCCTTCAGTTTGTTACATCTAACATGCGAAATTCTGTCTATTTGTATTTGGTGTAACTTTTGCTGCATGGAATTGGCAATTTGTTAGCATATTTAGCTGATTTGTTTTTGACTAGTTTTTGTCGGTTGTTAAGCGTTCGTGGCCGAGCGGGCAGAACGTGAGACTCCAAAAATAAAAAATGTTACCTATTAGTCCAATTTTCTCAAATAGGGTTAATTTTATTTAAAAAGTGTCAATCATAAGATGTTCTAGAAATTTCAAGAGCCTTAAGGCCATATATTCTTTTTCTTTGGAATTCGAAAGTTGAGTTTTCAATAAACAAGTCAGTTTTTTTTGTTTACTTGCGTTCTTTGAGTCTTTTTCTTACTGTCTGTTCGAAATTTGTTAACGCTCAAATTTTAGTTTGTTTTGAATTTTTTATTAACTAATTTTTTATTAAGTTTAAGAATTTACAAATGTTATAGAAAAGCGTGACCGACTTCTAGTTTCGAAAGTGGATTTTAGTTTCATGGTTTCCCTGCGGATTAGAGAAATAACCTATTGATCCAGTTTATTCAAATTGAGTTAATTCTATCAGAGAAATGTCAAGCATGAATTGTTTTTGAATTTCAAAGAGCTCAAAAGCCATATATTTTTTATTTTGAAACTAAAATTGAAATTTTTAAAAATGCAAGTCAGTTTTTATTTTCTGCTTCCTTAGGTTCGTTGCTCTTTTCCAAATCTCTGTGGGCTGTTTTTTCATTGAATTATTTCAGATTGAAAAGATTGAATTATTTCAGAACAATTTAAATATTTTATGTTAACTTGCGTTCATTGACACTTTTCTTACTGTCGTTTGCGATGTTTTTTGGTAGCTCAATAAGTATAAGCTACATCCACTTTTTATGTGTTAATGGACAATCACGTATTTGGGTCGTATAATTCTGCTTCTTTTCTTCTATGAGGGCTGCTCATACGACCAATGTAATGAAAAGTATTCAATTGATTTCACAGCAAAAAAATATGCGTGATAGGAAACTCAAGAGATATAACTTGATAGGGTTTTTGTTCCGACTTTCGATACGAAAGTAACGGAATATTTGTGCTCGGGGTGGGTTTTTTTTCTTCAGACAAATTTCGACTTTTTAACTAGCCATTTTTGACGGAAATTTTTTACATCATTCGAAAGCTATTGTTGTCGTGAGCTTAAATTTGAAAAGATTTTTTACCTGTGATCATTTTTCGTAAAGTTATGAGGGTTTAAAGATTGCCATTTTGACCCATTTGGGACAATTAACGCGCGATATAATTCGAGCTATTAACGCGTAAGCAGAGATTTAATCCGTCATAGAAATGGTTCCAAATTGGTTGAAGGAAGCTCATTTGTCAGAATTGATTTGTTATTAGGAGCGAAATTTATCACTTTGTACTTAATATGGCGCGTGTGGGGGAAGATTTTCACAAATAATTTCGAATAAAATTTTTTTGCATTTTAATTACATTTAATTATTTCATGTTATTACAGCACCATAGACTATAAATGGAGGCATGTTAGTTGATAATTTTCTTTTTTTTTTTCAAATTGACTGGTACTGCTAATTCGTCATAATTGGCGTGCGTCACTTAAGAAATTTTGTAGACTCAAAATTTACTCATTCAGTTTTTCCCTATAGCGTGTTCGGTCATATTTTTGCTTTTAAATGCGAAGTGCAACTTCGCCTTTGTGTAAATATTCAATTGAAATAATTAAACAGTAGTCATAAATCATTTAAAAAAATTCAGAAGTGTTAAAAAAATCAAATGTTTTTTTAAGGTCACTGACACTTTTCCAACTGTCTGTTGGACTTTTTCTGCTGCGGGGAAAAACTAATAGAGTATGTGTGCAGTAATTTATCCAGCCAGCAGTAGATGAATGATCAAGACGACAATTGAATCTTTGGCGGGAGGTCTGCTGTAGAAACCCCGTAGTCTCTACAGCGGAAAAGCGCTTAAATTTTTCTGAAGTTGGTTCAATGCTGAAGGTTTCCGCGCAGACTATAAAAAACCAATTTTGATTCGGGGATACAAAATTTGGGGATACAATTGGACGTTGATCAGTTTTTAGTTTGATTATTTGCCTTAATCATAGATTCGGGGATACAAAATTTAGGGATACAATTGGAGGTTGATCAGTTTTTAGTTTGATTATTTGCCGTAAATTTGGCACTATTTACTTTGGTTTTCTTTTTTTTTAGATTATTTTTGTTTCTGTTTTTATCTAGTACATTGCTTAAACGTGAATCTAGTCTCTAGTGCATAGTCTCGAGCTAGTTAGCTGGAGATCTATGCTATAATAGGTGTTAAACCTTCAACTAATTAGTATCCAGGTGCGCGGTTCAAGCCAAAATCTGCACCGAATAACAGGTCTGTTTTGTGTGCTGCGTAAAAAATCAAGCTAGGTGGAATATAAAATTCAAATAAATTAAGCCTTGACAAAAATTTTGTTACACTTGTTGCTGGAAATAAAAATTTTTGACTGCGTCAGATTATACGTATCGAAATCTAGTTCCAAGTTAAACACGTCCGTAGTTGTTAAATCATAACGCTTGCGATTAGCAAGCGTTATCAAATCGGAATATAGAATTTTTTCGGCCTAACAACTAGTTAAACAAAATCAATTGAACCAGTTAGTGTCATGATATCGGCACAACAGATTGTCTGGAAACATAATTTTTCTGAGCATGTCATTCTAAATGGCCGTTCCTTTCGAGTTTTCCTTGTTCATTGTAAATCAACTTTTATTTCCCTTGCGATAAGCAATGGTCTTGCAATCGGGAACTAGAATTGTTTGATTCACTTGTAAATTTTCGCTTTTTTTTGTTTCCCTTGATAACGAAATCTGACTTGCTTTTTATTTTCTTAATAGCCTCTTTTTTGCATTTTTTGATGCTCAAAAGAGTTTTTTGTGTTCATGTGTGCGCGTCATGAAGGGAAATGGGACGTAAAATAGTTGAATTAGTTTTGAATTTATAAAAATAGGCTTGAAGAGCTTCAGCAGAGATATTTTTGGCTTTGTTACTGCTTGATTAATTTTGTTGCAATGCTGATTTCGCATTCCATTGTTCGGGCATGTTTTTTTACAACTATCGGCATTCATTTTGACAGATCTAGTTTTATCGCCAGTCGTGCTACCCTCAACTTCGCCTTTAGTTTTCGTTTTAATTTCATTTTTCGCTGATTGTTTTTTCCACTTTAAGTGTTTTTTCGGTTGAAATGGTTTCGATTGATGTTACATCTGCTTAGTTGACCCATAATTTGTCTTTTGAAGGACCAAATTTTTTAAAATTTATTTGTGCTTCGGATACATCGGAATATACATTTTTTTCACAAAATTGTCAGAGTTAAATTGGTTAAATCCGCTTCTCAGTTTTGTTGCTTTGCCGGAACCGCATTCCGGGCAAAAGTAACAGATCAATATTTCTTTCTGATCAGAAAATCGTGTCCCGTCCATTATTTTGTGCTTTCAGCGGTGCTATTTTTTTCTGTATCGGAATTGAGGCGAAGCTCAGCTTCTCCTCTGTGTGTAACTTGATTTAAAAATATTTTAACTTTTAATGAGATGCACATGCTTAGTGCAAAAAATGTTGCATAATTTAACCGGCCTTGCGTGCGTTCATGCAAAGATCAGTATGTGAAATTTGTTGTATGATCAAAACAAGTTAATCTGCAGCGTGCGTTCAATCGGCGTGAAAAAATTCTGCAAATGAGCTGTAGAGGTTGTTTGAGAACATGTTTTAGAGTGAGAGAACAGCTGTTTTAGCATGTGATAAACACGCATGAACACTTAAAGTTTTTGTTAATTAAAGCATTTTCGCAACTGTTTTTTCACGCACCTCTGATAATGAATTCATTCCCTCTTGCGGAAAAAACAGTTGCGAAACTACTACTTAAGCTATATGTGATTTTGCTTTGTTTTTTCGGAATTCGTGCTAGAAGTCAAATTACGCATTCGAAATTTGAAGAAGTCAAAGTCTAGCCTAAACACTTTTGTAACAAAAAATACGCCAAGACGTTTAAATGAAGGGAAAGCACTCGTCTCCTAAGGTCAGTTTATCAGAATTGATGAAATTAATTGCTAAACAGAATCAACGGGGCGAACATCAAACATTCAATCAAAGCCGCTTGTTTGTAAGTCCTGGGGCGGATTTATTGAGAGTAAAAAAAATATCAGCAGAATTAGTTTTTGACAATTAACCTCCGTTCCAATGATCCTAGAACCACTCTTTTATTGAACTCTAGTCTTTGATCTGCTCAGATGAATATGTACAAATTTTCAATTTATAACGGGTTTCCAAGAACTATAAGCCAGGAGTTATTTACATGATGGTGTCTATACAAATGCTTTTGATTATAATGTTTTTTTTTCAGGTTAAAATGGCTACCCTTGAAAAAGAATCTGCCACTATTCCTAACGGAACCGCTGGCGAATCGCACCCGAAAGCAGCTGCAAGCCACCAGCACAACACGGGTTCCAAGAAACTATCTCTGCCAATTCAAACTGTGGTTCATGAGTACCATATGAAGCATGGATTACGTCACCAAGATTTCTTCAGGTTCGAAAAAAAAACAAGCTAAATTGCTGCAAGAAAAATTGAGCAACTAGTGCAAATAATATTGAGTCTTTTGGGGGCTTGATTTTTTTTTGTAAGTGGTGCTAAATGAGAAAGTCGTTTCCCTAATTATTATCGTGAAGTTATTTTTTCTTGCGAAATTATTTTGTTCTCGTCTGTTGTTTTAATGCAATCATCTCCGGTGATATAAAACATAATACGAGAACAAATTAATTTGGAGATTTGACTATTTGATCATGAGGTGAACCATTTTTAAAACTGTTTTAGGTATAGAGGATACTGTTCGCGGAGGCTGAAACATATAAGGAAGGCTCTGAAGTTCACACAGTCGAGTCACAAGAAGCATTTCCAGAAGCGACAGGTGAACGAAGACAATATCAAGTGAGTGACACTTGCGATATTGATACTAAAATTGCTTTGGCGTTCCATGCTATGAAATTGTTGGCGATTGGCCTTTTACCATACCGACCGTTTACCAGATCACAATGCAATAATTTAATTAAGATTAGTTTAAATTAGTGGAAGATTAGAAAAGGAGTGCAGCCAGTATTTAGACAGCCGCGTATTCATACTGGTCAGTATTTAGACAAATACTGTATGAACCAATCAGAATCGAGAAAAAACATAAATAATCCAAAATAAATAATAATTATTTATTAATTTCTTCTTTGTCTCGATTCTGATTGGTTGAAACAGTATTTGTCTAAATACTGACCAGTATGAATACGCGGCTGTCTAAATACTGACATGTAACCATTAGAAAAGGAAGCGGTTAGAACAAACAAAACTTCGGTGAAAAACCGCGAAATTATTGTCTTTAACCAGACTAAACGGCGTCATTACATCTGTCAATCAAATTTGTTTATCGAGTCTGGTAAAAGGTCCATGTTATAACTTTTCTGGTAAAAATTCGGTCTGATAAAAGGTCGGTCCCCGAAAGTGTATGATGGGAATTTTGTTTTCAGCCCATGATGATTTAGTTACTTTCAGTAAGACTAGCTATAGTATATCTGTTCCTGAGCAATGAACACGGCGTTTTAACAAGAACATTTTTTATATGTCTTCGACGATATTTTTTGTCCCGATCACTTCACGAAGTGAGAGGGACTACAGCGCTGGTTTTTCAGTCGATTTTGACTACCTCAAAAAAGCTGGTAAGTGGAAGGGGATCACGTGTGGTATTATATTAAAGCTCTTTCAGCCGTGGTTTGAATTCTAAAATAATTCTACAACAATAAACTCATTAAAAATTTAGACTTAAATGAAGAAAAAGAAGAACAGATCCTTTTTTATCTTTCTTATGTGTGGACTCTTTGTTTTAAAATGTAATCATAAACTTATACTTAGTTACACACTTATACCTACTTAAACTTACTTAAAGATGGAAGTTTTGTTTCATAGGGACCTGAGGTACCTGGAGATCCTGCTGTTGAACGCAGAACGCGCCTGGGCTCATGCCATGCAACTGAAAGACGAATCCGAACTGGAACCCCGTCGAGTGCACCATTCAATGCGCAAACTAATGCACGCGTGCGAAATATCAGGAGTGCTGCTCAGAATATGCTCTGCAGAAGGTGGAAAATGCAAAGTGGATGCGCGGACTTCGATCGAAGCGAAAGCTTATCATGAGTACATGTTGGGAGTTCTAGCCCAGAATAAACGAAATTGGTCGGACGCGCTGAAGAGTTTCAAAAGTGCGCTCGCTTTGTATGAGCGAATTAAAGAACTCGTGACTGAGGAAAAACGTGAGGCTTATGACGCACAAATTTCCGAGGTGAAGCCTTTGATCAACTTCTGTGCGTACAATTTGGGCGAATCTTTGGACGAAAATCCAACTACAGTTACAGAGTTAGAGCTGGACTTTGAAGATAAATTGAAAATGATGTCGAAAAGTAACGTTGTGAACGAAGGCGACGTCAAAGCGACGAGTTTTGCATGGTTAGGTCAAACGGTGCAAGTTAAGCTCCCGTTTTGGAGTACGTTCTTGACTTCGATCGGAAATTACAAACAGGAGATAAGCAAGGCCCTGAATGATGAGGCAAAGATTGGGCTGTTGGATAGTTTGCTGGGTTAGTCGTTTTTAATGATTTTAAAAAGATGAGGGTTTGAGTATATATTTCGACTCATAAAGTTTTAATCAAAAGTTGGTATATCCTATTTTTGTCGATTTCTAAAAATGGTTTAACTTGGAAAAATCTAAAAAGCATGCTCACTTTCTTGGGAGGCGGCGACTAAATTCTCTGCCTCTCAGTTATTGAAGGCGTAGTAAAATGATTCGTGGTTGTTTTTACAGGCAGAGGCTACCTTTTTGCTGCCCAGAAAAGTTACCAAAATTGCAAATAGATGTTAATCATGGGTACAACAGCGATTCTGCACTTAGAGCTGAACATATTTTTATTAATGCTCTTTTTCTCGTAGGATGGTCTTACTTTTAGAATTTATATCAATATAACTAAATTTAATCATTTCTGATTAATAAGTATGTGCTGTTAAAATGTTTCATATTTAGATGAGACTCGTCAAGTTCAAGCTAAGTTGAAAGCTGAAGTGAAACAACAAAAAGACTACAAAGGCGACTCAGTTTCGAAGCCCAACGGAACTACATCGGTTGAAAACCCAATCATGTTCCTTCTGGGTTACGTAACATTCATCAAACTAGCCAATAGTGTGCAAAAGAATCTGCTATTTCTCTACAACTTGGTGTCAAAAGAATCAGGGAAAAGTCTTTTTGGCGAAGCCGCGAAAAGACTGAAACCCCAAACATTCCTGAAGTTCTTCGAGTCGTGTTCGGAGTTCATAGACGAAATTCTTAGTATAGAATACGTACAGTCGTTCGGAAGCTTCGATAGCTTCGAGAAGAGTTTGCGGATGCAACAATCAGCGTTTTCGGCGTTTAGCATATACGAGCTAGCGAGGTGCTATAGTGCGCAAAATGAATGGAAAAGTTCGTTATCACTCTTTAGTAGGTCGAAAGATTTAGCAAATTCTGTGGACTTAAAAAGTTTAAATGCTCCAGAAATGGACGGGACTCTTATTGAGCTATTGGTACATGATTTACTCGCGTGTATTGATACTGAGATTTATAGTGCGTATACGTTGTGTATATCGAATCAATTTGCAAAAGAAATTCCTCCGCAAGGGTCGAGTTCAGCAGTTTCGAACGCATCTACAACGCAGCCGCTTGACAAAAACCTAAACCAGTGGGTTAAATTATCACCAGCTAGCTTGAAAAATCTGAAAATAACAAGTATGCCTCCCGAATATGTTGCAGTGCCTGCGAAGCCTTTGTTCTTTGACATTGCGTCGAATCATTTGAGTTTGCCGACAGCAGTTCAGGAGAAAGTCAATGCGTCTAGTCAGAATAAAGGAGGATTGGGTGGGTACTTCAGAGGCTGGTGGGGCGGAGGAAAGTAAACAAAAGGAACAACAACATACACAAAAGCAGCATCAAAGGATAAGTGTAAAAGGAGAAACTATACCCTGAAAAATGGACTTGACTTACAGTGGTTAAGAAACTCAAAGATCGATTTTGCTTACGTTGGTAAATTATCTTGCTCTCAAAATCTTGAACGCTCGTTTTCCTAATGGCAGCTAAGGCTAAATGTGTTATGCGAATTGGTAATGGGAATGCATTTGTTTTTACAGATAAATGCGCTTGCAAATTAAATATAGTTTTTGATTTCTTGACGAAATGATTAAGTGGGGAAGTTTGCTGGTGGGGCGGGAGGAGGGGGTTGCTCAGGTTATGGGTGGTTTAATGAGCTGCGAACCCAATGAACAAATTATATTGTTAATATACGAGCAATATGTCATCGTATCATTGTTTAATTCATTTTCAAAAGTTTATCCGCCGATGAATGCTTACAATGCCCAACTCTTTCAGATATTGAAGAATTCAATAGGTTTTATGGAATTGACCTTTTGCTTTAAAACTTGCTGTTTATGAGGAAAATACCTAATTTTAATCTGGATGTAAAATTTTAGTAGAAAGCGCTAAAGCAGTACCGTTATTGTTGAAAATATCTTCTGTTGCAGAATAATTTTTTATGTTATGTAAAGAAAAAGGCAGTTTAAATTTAAAAATATGTGCAAATTTATTTGAATTGGTGCCTGACTTCGTGAGATAAATTAATGAAGCTTCTGATTAATTCATCTTTCGTTCAAAATCTTTTTTGACAACAATTTATCGATAGACTCACTTGAGTTTTATGTTAAAACAAGTTAAACACTCTCAAAGCTATATTTTTGTCACATGTAAATTACAGTGCTGATTTCGAGTGGGTTCCATTCCTGCAAAAAAAATCATTAATATTTGTCTCAAAATAGGAAAATACACGAAATTTTGAAACTTGCAAAATCAGGCGTCTGAAAATCGGAAACCAGATATTTTCACGGCAAGCAAAATTTACCAATTTAAGAAAGAGTCCTAATGCTTTAATTTTGAATCTTAACATCATCCAGACTCATGGTTCCTTTTTATTATGCATTTTCTGGGTCGGTTTCCGGGAAAATCAAAATTATTTTTCGGTAAAATTTGATCAGTCGGACTTTCGTTTGCCTGCTCATGTTTTGACGACATAGTTGCCATGCCGCAGATGTTTCTGGACCTGCCATTAATTTTGATTGTGTTTGCAAGTGTTATTGGTTTACTCCGGTAACTTCTAAGTTTACCACCACCCCTGACTTTTTTCGCTTTTAAGCTTCATTCGACAATAGTATTTTACGCTTGTTTTATCGGCTTATTCAACTTATGATGTGGCTCTTGATCGTCAAAATTTAAATATCATTCTCAAAAATAATGCAGGTCGGTTGCTTAGAGTTTTAAAACGTAATCGCTCAAATTTTTTCGACAAGTTTTTTTTTGGATTTTTTTTTTTGTTTGCGCATGAAACAGACCGGTAATACTACAAGTGGTGATGGTTATGATTCTTGACTGATACCTGGTAGTTGTGTTTTTGACTGTTTTTCTGAAACACTTTTCGTTTGAACAAAAAATTTAAGTTTTTCAACTTGGTGAATTCAGTCTTTTGTTGTATATGCTATCTTTCAATGCTGCGCTTGCGCTGTATCGCAAGTGATGCGCAGTGTAATCCCTTTGCTCATCCTCCGTGTTAGTTTTTTTATTGGATTGAAATTGTCAATTGAGTCTTTCTAAATTTTGAAAGGAAATCTAAAATTTTTCTGATTTATAGTAATGAACGCAGTGAGTATTCTAATATAGGTCTTGGTGATTTTTTTTTCAAGAAAAAGTATTGAAGTTTGTTCACGCTCAATTTTTGATTTTTCGCGGTTTGACTTGTGATTTTTTTCAGTCAGTGCATTGCTGCATTTCCAGTGCTAAAAGGAAGGCAAACTCCACTATCGCAAAGCAAAATTGCTTAGCTTACGATAAACCAGATCTACTTCTGATTTTGAAAAAGGAAATTGTTAATCAGATTTCCCAGCGAAATAAAATTTATACATTTTAATCCAATTTTCTCAAATTGGGTCAAATTTTACAAAGGTTCCATCATAAATTGATCTACAAATTCAAAAAAGCTCTAAAGACCTATTTTTTTCTTTGAAACTCAAAAATAGGTTTTTAAAAGAACCAGTCAGTTTTTTTTCAATGTCCTTGCTTTCATTGCTCTTTTCCATGAAATATGAATCGCCAAGGACTAAAAAATTGAAAAATAATTTTTCCTGCCTGATATATTGATCGAATTCCTGGGATGTTATATAAGCATGGAAAGCTAAATTATAACATACCAAAGTTGAATACCGATTTTTTTGGCTTCAATTTTTGGGCAGCTCCTCGTTTTGGTTAGAACATAAATAGATAATATAGGCTGATATACCACTGGATATTTTGCAACTTTTTTAGAGTTAGCGTCCTCTTATTTCATTTTTCAATATTGTCAAGGCGCATTGTTAAAAGATTGGTTTTGGGCACTTTTTTTGTTTTTGTTAGTCCCTTCATGAAAAACTTTCATCTGCCCTTATACCATTCAGAACGAGAATCTCTTCATCAAAAGTTTGTCATTTGCAAATTTGAATTGGGTACTTGATAGTGTAATTGAAAGCCCCTTCATAAAAACTTTTAATTTGCCCTTATACCATTCAGAACGAAAATATCTTCATCAAAAAATTTGTCATTTGCAAATTTGAATTGTCATTTGCAAAAATTTGCTTTTTGCCTTTTTAAGTTTTTCATGTATTTTAAGAACTAATTCGAGCCGGTTTTGCTAAATATCTCAAAAACATCTTGTTTCGAGTATTTACGGTTTTTTGTCCCAAAATTGAGCTTTTTCAACATTTTCAACAAAGACAACAAGATTTGTACTACTTTGAACTAAAAATTGTTAGAACGAAGCGAGCTACCGTTTGTTAGTTTGCGAGCTGAAATTTGCTTAAGTTATGCTGAAATCTAGCTGAATTGTAGCTCAACTTCCGAGTACTCGTATAGATTGCGAAAGTAACCATATATTCTAAAAATTATATGTACATATCAATTGTATTAGTATTACATTTCAAATGTATTACTACAAAATTATCAGGCAATTTTCAGTTTATAGTTTATATAGTTTATAGTTTATTTTATAGTTTAAGAGCTAATTCCAGCTTTGTTTCGCAAAAGGTTCGAACTCATCTTGATATTTATACCATCTTGCATGAACGTTTAGTCAGAATTAAACGTTTAAGGCAAAAAAATGTACAATTTGAAGAAAACAATTGCAGCTTAATGAAAAATTAATGCTGAAGTTATGCTGAAATCTAGCTGATACGTAGCTAAACTCCCGAGTACTCGAATTAAAAAGAATAAATTGTGAAAAAAAAACATAGTTTGTTAAATATATGCTTATATATCAATTAAATTAGATTAAATTACAATCGTAGTATTACATTTTTTTGATCCATTTTTCCGTTTTTTCATGTATTTTAAGAACTACTTCGAGCTTGCGGTTTCGCTAAATGTCTCGAAAGCATCTTGCGAATCGCACGTTCCATAAAAATTAGTCAGAATTGAAAATGTTAGGCTAAATGTACAATTTGAACCATAAATAAGCAGCCAAATGAAAATTTAGTGCTGTAAGCCTCTGTATAAACACTCAACTAAACACGGAAGATAAAAATCCTTTGATCAAGCTTTTATTGAAATTCTTCTGGAGATAAACTAACAAGTTTTCATCAAAACTGCTTGACTTAGAGAGTATTGGGGCTAGTACAACGCTCAAAATCCGATGTATATTTATGTCAAAGTGTAATTTTCAAGTCTAATTTTTTTCCGGTTTGTTTGTGATCAAAATTAGAGCAAACCTAACTGACATCTGAAAAACGTTTTAATTGCTTTTACGAGAGTACTTATTGTTGGGTTCTTCACTAAAATGCTAGTAGATGTAAGCAATGTACTGGCTTTGTCCAAAATCTTCAAATAGAACTTTGTTTCAATGAAAACTGGTTCAGAATACAGAACATAAGTAACAAATTGTATGAAAAAAACTGAAACTTTAAATCCTAAACAATAATTTTTATAAAAATATATTTCCTGTAAATTTTTCAGATTCCACTTATTTTTTCAAAAGATGAAAATACTGAAGATAACCAAAATTTATTAATTTAAATTTTTTCGAATAGACTCTTGTTATGTAAAAACATGATGGCAATGAGAAGTTATTTGCGTACTTTTTCTTAGCGTTTTGAGCGAAAATCTATCAACACTCTCAAAACTTTGATGGGTTTCCTCCAACATAAATTTAATTGGTCTATAAATACTAGTTTAGAACTGGTTCCACCCATCCGGGGTTTAAAGAATTTTTAGTTTTTAATTGTTTGATGTAGTGAAGGAAGGGTGATGTAGTTTCTTTTTGAAGTTGCGAGCCTTGACTTGGAGAAAGAAGAAGTGTGGCTGTTTGTGTTTGACGGAGGAAGATTGTTATGTTCGTGTTTTTTGATATTTTATTTTAATTTAGTGTACGTATTGAACGCAGACTTGTGGTTTCTGGTTTGTCTAATTTGATCCGAAAAAATTCTTTTGCAAAAACATCGCCTCTAAAAAAGTGTGGTGAGTTAACTGTATCTTTGAAACAATCATTTTTGAAAATGAGTTAAGACTTTATTTGCAGTTAGAGTCAAAGCAAATTTGTTATTTGCTCAACTTTTCTACTAGTTTTCACTTTCAACAATGCTTGGAAAGCTTTCTCTGTTTTAAATAAACTTTGCATTTTCTTAAAAAATGTATAATTGGGACAATTAACCATTAATCGTAGGCAAAATTAGACCAGAAAAACTTATAGGCAAAATAAAAACAAACAAACAATTTTAGTGGATGGAAACACTTATTGAATTAAAAAACGAAAACGAAATAGATATATTTCCTTTTATGGTAGCTTAATGATAAATCGACTAATCAGTATCGAGCATCGTTCAATGGGGAGTTTCAAAAAATTTTGATATGATGATTTAACCGGAATTAAGTTTTCCAAAAAATAAAATCTTTTACAATTTTGTTTTTAATCAATCAGATACAAATCTTCAAAACTAATAATTCTTCTGTTTCAAAAACTTTTTGAAAAAACTGGGTTAAAATTTAAAAGCTTGAAATTTCAAAATATAAAAACCATTAGAAGATTTCAAGTAGTTATAAAACACTAAAATTCACATGCCTATTTAAAAGCGACGAGATGGACCTGAAATTTTTGATAAATAGGACTGTCAAGCTAAGCTACTTACATGGCAGCTTCGAATTTTGGGGCAAAACTATAATTTTCAATAAAAATGCATCTGTTTTTTTCCAGATTGAATCTGTGAAAAACAATTTTGCAAAATAAAATCATCTATTTTTCTGATATATTGTAATAAACAAAACTGGAAACCTTCTAATTTTAGAAAATCAATCGGTAATCATTCTTACAATTCAAGAGTCAGTAACAAATTGAATGTATCAGAAACAAATTGAAACAGTAACCGAAAAGATGTTCTTTTTTCATTTTTTTGATAGCATTTTGATATTTTGATCGATCAATCAATTTGAGACAGGTCTCGTAAAAAATACATTAGTGATAAAAACAGGTAAAATTTTTCTTTGCATTCTGGTCTGCATTTTTAAACAAAAATTTGAGTGAATTGTTATTTTACACAATCAAAATTAGTATTCAATCAACGTCAAATAACAACTACTCCTTTTTTG